TCTTCTTCTTCTTCTTCTTCTTCTTCTTCTTCTTCTTCTTCTTCTTCACATCCCTTCCCATTTTTTTTTGCTTCCTGGGCCTCAGGGAAGTCTCGGGGGGGGGTGTTTTTGCTCCCAGAAGGCTTCTCTGGACCTAGGAAGGCAAAAAATGGAGCCGGGGGGGCAACCCCCACACTCCATTTTTGGGCCTTCTGGGCCTCAGGGATTTGTTCCATTGTTCCATTGTTCCAATGGGCTATACTCCTGTCTAATTTGACTACATGATATACACTTAAAACAAATGTAGATATTAGAAATACAGTATAAAACACTGTTTTTCAGAATAAATTTGATGTATAGCCAAAAGAACAAACGAAAAGAAGAAGAGAAAATACTTGAAGAAATGTTTTAAAATATTAAACCATACTTGCAATTCTCTTCCATCACCTCTCTAAAGCATACTTCTCTTGTTTGCAGAAGAAACTATATTTGCTTATCGCTGATGATGAGAGTTTCTCTGGTTTTGGTCAGGGAATTCTCCGTCATCTGCTATGTGTGTTTCATCCTATTGTTCCCCAATCACAATATATTTACTCAACAGCAAAACTTCGAGCAGAGCAGAGACAGATTCCCACTTAGCTCCCTTAATAGCTATTCCTATCTCAGAGAAATGTGCAAACACAGATAGACCATCCGCCAATGTTAGCCAAGTGAAAGATTAAAGCTAGCATTTCAGTAGTCAGAATAAATTTATATCAGCAGCCATGATGTTTGGGCTGAGATTAAACTCTTATTTTACAGACGGAGCTAAAATCTGGCCATTGGAAACAATCCCCATGAAATCAAAAGAACACATGTTTATCAAGGTTGCACCATCCAGGTATGTGGAGACAGAAATTCCAAAATTCCCAGCCAATGGATGAATAGCAGCCCAGCACATGTGAAAGAATTAAAGCTGCAGAAAATTATGTTGGAAAAGAAACAGAAACCAAGCCTCTTGATATAGTTAGCATCCAGTTAGCATACTTTCTGAGATCTAGCTTATCTAAATAGTTTCTTTTTTCACTTATTTTACTTCCATCAGAAAAAGCAAAGTTGAAGTGATAACTCTTACATGATTGTTTCAAACTGTCCTATTGAATACTTGTTAGAATGTATTTTGCATTGAAACAACAGATTACTCAGCCAGTAGATGGCAGCGTTCAGTTTGCATCTATGGTTATAATCTATTATTCCTTTTGTTCTGAGGAGTTTCCTGTGACAGTTGAAACCATTAAGCAGTAAGGCCCATGGTTACTGTACACTGAACAATTACATTGATCGATATGGCTATGTAATCATCCTCTGCTACCAATCTGTATGGCTATATAATAATCCTCTGCTACAATTTCTATAGAATAAAACAGTATTTCCAGCAGGTTCTTTACCAACAGACCTTTGGAGGATAGCTAAGACCAAATACTTCTGCTTCTTGGAAGCTGTTTTTTGGAATAGAGTTCGTTTTTATGGATTTTAGGTTCAGATTCAGTAAGCCATAGGCTCTTGGTAAAATGATGCTGTAAATGAATACATTTCTACAAAGCATTTTTGGAAAAAAAAGTTTTTTTTCCTCATCAGTTTTTTTGAAAATATATATTTTTTAAATTGATTTTAAAAACTATATGTTGCCATCTCTATCAAAAGGGTCTATATCTATGAAGATTCCCAGTCATCCAAATTATGGTTGTTGCAAGGGTGTTTTTTCAAAAGTCAACTGAATTTTCTTGTTTTTTTTTTCTTTGAAAATATTTCATTTCTCAACCAAGAAGCATCTTCAGTTTGCTAAAGAACTGAAGAAGCTTCTTGGATGAGAAGCAAACTGTTTTCAAGGGGAAAAAAGCCACTAAGATAGCCCAGTTGCCTTTTGAAAAAGCACCCTTATGACAACCATAATTTGTCTTCATCCTTCTCTTCATCATTTTATGGCATGATGCTATAGCACAATAGCTGTCATAAAAAAGACAGAGTTTCAAAACTCTATATTCCCTGCCTAATAAAAAAAAAGTAATACTTGGAACCTGAGTAAAGAATCATGAACCCTGTGCAAATTTGCGATCCGCACAGCTAATAAAGCACAAGAAAACGAGACCTCTGGCTATTTATTTGCATGAGAAAGCTTTATTACGGGATATTCAATAGCTAAATTAGTTTTTCATCTGTGCCTAGATGAGAATTTGCCCCTGAAACTCGAAACTGTTTCCAAACCAGTTTTCTCAGGTTTCCAAACTGACCTGAGATAATTTATTCTGCAAAAAGCCTGAGAGGCTAATGCTTCCATCTAGTCTTGCTTGCTTTTTTCATTCATTAATTTCTGAACACATCCCTTTTGCGGGGGAGGGGGGAGAGGGGGGAGGGAGAAAGATCACCTTTGTTAAAACAAAAAGAAAAAAAAGAAAGAAGAAAGAAGGATCACGTTATGTGAATTTTCTTTTGATGAGACAAAATCACGCTAAAAGGCTGTTTAAATCTGAGCGGGAAGTATATTCTCTGTAAAAGCAGACTTGCAAGGAAGAAGAGACATTGATTTGGTACTCATTGCCCTCGCTTGACCCACCTAAAAGAGAAATCTACCACTGTAGTCTTTTATGAATACATTAAAGGAAGAGAGTGCCATGGAGCATCAGCGCTCTATTACCTCGAATGATGGTTCTTTGCTTTTTAATAATAAATTATCCGACAAGTCCTTGACACACAAAAACAGCTTTTAAACACCTCTATGAGGGGCTGTCAAAAAGAAAGCAGAAACAAACATGATGATAATGTTTCAAGGATAGCTTTATTACATCATCAGGGATAGGGAGAAATATAGCTCTTTGTTGACATTCTGTCCCTGATAGGTGATATTTCAAGTCTTACACCAAGTTGCACCTTCCATTTTATTTATTTGTTTAGAAAATTTATGGGATCTGCCATCCGACCTACAAACAAATAACCATCAACTACATGGCTTGGAGCCATATTATTTGAAGGACCATCTCTCCCCTACTACATCAACTCAGTCCACTAGGAGGCAGGGTATGTTGGGGATGCCATCAATTAAGGATGTACATGTTGTAGGAACATGAAAAAAAGGGTCTTCTGAGTGGTGACCCTTCTTTACGGAATGCTATGATTGGTTCCCACTCTGGTGCTCTTCTGATAGGTCCTAAAAACAGGATTCCTGAGGACCATGAATGGAGATGGAAATAATCAAGTGGTTGATTTGATTATGCTGCTGCTGTTATGAAATGGGGTGGGATTTTCATGGGTTTTATGTGATGGAGTTTTGAATGGAAGTTCCTCATTCATTTACCTAGGCATGAGTTGGTCAGCCATCTAAATAATCAACATAGGCAATATAATTAACAATCAACAAGAATAGTATAATAAAATATCAAACCTTTCCAATATTTGTTTAAGTATTTTCCAATATTCCAAGAGTCCCAATATTGGAGGAGCTGGCACGAAGAGCAGGGTGTCATGATATTTTCCAAAGCATCTGAAGGTCAGACAAGGAATAATGGATGGAAACTGAACAAGGAGAGATTCAACCTGGAAATATGGATAAATTGAGAGAGAGCAATCAACCAACAGCTTGCCTTCAGATGTTGTGGGACTTAATCACTGGAAGCTTTCAAGAAGAGATTGGATTGCCATCTGTCAGAAATGGTGTAGGGTCTCTTGCTTGGGTGGGGAGTTGGACTAGATAACTTACAAGGTTCCTCCCAACTCCCAATGGAAAACAATACTGAAATAATCAAATACAAGAACTTAAAAAAACTTCATCCAGACAAATCATACTTATCTTGAGTTTATCTTGGGCTTAACCAGGGGTGGGCTTCAGCCAGTTCATGCTGGTTTGGACAAACTGGGTAGAATAGAATAGAAAGAATACTTTATTGGCCAAGTGTGATTGGACACGCAAGGAATTTGTCTTAGTGTAAATACTCTCAGTATACATAAAGAAAAGGTACATTTGTTAAGAATCAAGAATCATAACATACAACACTTAATGATAGTCATAGGGTACAATCAACAATCAAATCATACTAGGAGTCAAGTGGGAGGGCATGGGTGAAAAGGAGTGGTGAGAAGATTAACAGTAATAGTAGTGTACACTTTGTAAATAGTTGAACAGTGTTGAGGGAATTATTTGTTTAGCAGAGTGATGGCTTTCGGGAAAAAACTGTTCTTGTGTCTAGTTGTTCTGGTGTGCAGTGCTCTATAGCGTCGTTTTGAGGGAAGCAGTTGAAACAGTTTATGTCCGGGATGTGAGTGGTCTGTAAATATTTTCACAGCCCTCTTTTTGACTCGTGCAGTATACAGGTCCTCAATTGAAGGCAGGTAGTTAGTAATTGTTTTTGCTGCATTCCTAATTACCCTCTGAAGTCTGTGTCTGTCCTGTTGGATTGCAGAACCAAACCAGACAGTTATAGAGGTGCAGATGATAGACTCAATCATTCCTCTGTAGAACTGTATCAGCAGTTCCTTGGGCAGTTTGAGCTTTCTGAGTTGGCGCAGAAAGAACATTCTTTGTTGTGCTTTTTTATGATGTTTTTGATGTTAGCTGTCCATTTTAGGTCATGTGATATAGTAGAACCTAGAAATTTGAAGGTCTCTACTGTTGATACTGTATTGTCTAGTATTGTAAGAGGTGGTATTATAGGAGGGTTTCTTCTAAAATCTACCACCATTTCTACGGTTTTGAGTGTGTTCAGTTCCAGATTGTTCTGGTTACACCACGAGGCAAGTTGTATAACCTCCTGTCTGGATGCAGATTCATCTTTGTCTCGAATGTTAATTTTACGTCCAGTTTGGCAAACTTGGTAGTTCTGATGACTGGCTGGCCCCACCTCACACAGCCCCTCCCCTCCCTGGAGTCCCCAAGTGGCCCCTTTTGGATACCAGGTAAGTGCAGGGGGCACATGGAGCCTGGGGAGGTGGAAAATGGGCCTCCCAGAGGAGGGCAAAAATGGGCTTATTTCCAGCCTCCAGAGAGACTCTGGAGCCCAAGAAGGTGGAAAACAAACCTCCCAGAGGCCCATGAAGGGTGAAAATGGGCCTATTTACAGCCTGCAGAGAACCTCCGGAGCCCGGGGAGGTGGAAAATGGGCCCTCCACAGCCTGTTTTCTCTCCCAGGATGATGCAGAAGGCCAACTAGGCCATGCCTACCATGGTCATGCCCACTCAGCAACTGGGCAGAGGACCAATTCTTAAATTATTTGAAGCCCGTCGCTCAGCTTAACCGAATGCCAGGGGACAAGTCAAGCCTTCACAGTCTTCTCAAAGGCCAAGTTGGCCAATGCTCTCTAGATCTCCTGGAGGAATAAGCTCCATAAGGCAGTTCTTGAGACATGCATAGAAGCCTCCAAGAATTCTTGGCCAACATAAGATATTTCAAATAGACATGCTAGAATTAAAATGAGGTATATCCTGAAGGTATTCTGTGACTTCCACGACGAAGCTGCCCTTTTAAAAAATGGTAAATTTAGCCTTTGAATTGGAATTATGAGGGGCTGGATATCCCTTCTATGAAATTTTCCCCAACTTGGCTCCCTTCAAATGTGTTGTGACTGCAATTATAATTCCCAGGCAAAAGGGCTAAAGGCAATAGGAATTTTAATTTAGCTTAATTTATTCAATGTAAACACTTCCAGTCTCCAACCAACTCTGGGCAGTGTACAATAAAACCAACAATATAAATCAGCACAAAATATTAGAAGAGATTAAAAAACCCAATTGTGGTTTCTGCAACCACACCGAGACAAAATCTAGCAGGGGTTCCTACCATCCTCATTCAATGAATTCTGGAAGCAGAATGGTTTTTCTTGGTTTTTTTTTCCTTGAAAACATTTATCTTCTTATCCAAGAAGCTTCTTCAGTTCTAACCAAACTTTTTGGAGGAGAATCAAAATGTTTTCTAGGGGGAAAAAAAACAAGAAAATCCAGTTGCCTTTTGGAAAAGCATCTTTGGGACAACCATGACCTGGATGACTGACATCATCCATAGACATCTGGAAGCAGAATCTCCAACCCATATGGAGGGCATCGGGCTGGGAAAGGCTATGTTTTCAAAGCAGATATGGTGTAAACCCAATCACTAGGCTGCAAAAAATTATTTTCAACTGCAGTATTTGAATATGGGGTCTCTTTTTGCATAAGATGTAGCTTGTTATAACATGCCTAGCTACAATTACACATAAATTATAGAAAAAAAATAATATTAATGATGAGTACAAAATATAATGATGAGAGCTGTACTCAGGATCAGCAGCTGTCTTTACACTTAAGCAAGAGTCTGAATTAAAGAAAGCTATTTTCTACCTAACACAATTATGGCACCATTTGCTCAGCGCTGTCATTGTAAATTATTAACATTCATTTGTTTTATTGTTTCCCAATTATTTCTTCTTCTGTCTTTGAGTTTGCATGATTTCCATTGTGTTACTTTGTTTATTTTGTTTCATTTTCTGCTTCTTGATTCAGCATTATTATCCTCCTTTGTTAATTTTGTGATATATTCTTTTAATATTTAAAAAATATCCTGCTCAAGTAAAATGGCTGCTTTATTGGTTAATAATTCAAACAAATACCAAAGCCTCTCTTCTAGAAGTTATCTTTATTAAATTCTGGCCTATTTGTTTGGGGCTATTATTCAAATTTGCTGAAATTGCACTAAAAGATCACTCTCAAAACAATTCCTGATAATAGTTTCCCACTTGTCATCCGCCACAGGTTATGGGAATATATCCAGAAAATGAAAATTTAAAGCATAGCTTTCACAGCCTTTTGACATAAAAGATATGGGGTGGGATGGATTGAAGGCCTTATTCTGTACGGGTTCGACTCAGTAGATAGTTACAATCTGTAATTGTGAGGAGAGTTAAGTTAGGGCCTTAGATACTCCATGGCTTAGGGCTCCCTTCCTTCTATCCTGTTTGTAGTCTATGTGAAGTCTGTGGAATATGACATCTGTTGGTTCAGAGAGTGGAATCACCAATATGCTGATAGAATTCAGTTACAACTCTCTACTTTGAGCTGAATAGGAGATGTAGTTGAAGTTCTAAGCCAGAATCTCAAGTTCTGGTTGGAAAAAAAATCAGATTTAGACCTAACCCAAGCAAGCCAGAGGGGCTGTTCGCAGCTTGCTGATTCTGACTTGATACCAACTTTGTTCTAGACCAGGAGTTTGCAAACTTAGCAACTTTAAGACTTGTGGACTTTAACTCCCAGAATTCTCCAGCCAGCTGGAGTTGTCAGGTTTGGAAACTTATTTTTCTAGAGGGTGTATTGTTTCTGTGTAAAAAGTTCTTTTTCAACGTGGGCATCCTGGATTCAGAACATCCTGTGAGATGTATTCATGGCTTCTCTAAAACAGTTCTGGCCCAGCTCCATTGCAGCAGTGAAGTCTTACCCTTGTCAACCCTGGACTGTATTATTGCAATTTGTCATAACCTGGAGTTCCCTTGAAGACCACTTAAAACCTGGCAAAAAATGCAGCAGCCCATACGCTCATGAGGCAGCCTTGTTAAGTCATGTAATGCTGCAGCTGAAAGGTTGCCAGTATGTTTCTGAGTGCAATTCAATGAGTACAATTCAGTTCAAGGAGCTGCTCGTTATTTATAAAGTCTCAGGTGGCTCAAGGCACGTTCATCTGTGAGACTGCCTGTCATAGTCCCAGTGCCTTTCCACTGCCTGCCCAATCTAAGGAGAAATTTTTTTTGGGGGGGGGGGGGCTGTGTGATATGGGGAGGGGTCTTGGAAATGAGCATTCTTGAGGAGTGTCATGCCCCAGCATATAATTTTTATATATAATGTTGTTGCTCTCTAGCCCCATCTAGTGGCCAGAGGGACAAATACCAATCATATTGTTTTGAAGCTGACCCAACTCCTTTACCCATAGCCCACATTTTCAAAACAAGTGCATGCTGGGAAGCCAGACTATCTACCTATAGCTGTGACATGTATGCTTCAGATTACTGGTTCCCCTTTGAATCTGGATCGCTACACAACCTATTTTCTGTAACCACATAACTCCACATTATATCTTCTTTTATAAAATGTTACCATGTTCCTCCATCCATCTTTTTGTCAAAGCTAAAAATACTCCAAATATTTCTTTAAAAAAAACTTTTGGTTTGCCTTTTTGTCCTACTTTTCCAGTTTTGTAACATTTTTTTAAAAATGTGGTAAATGGAAATGCACACAGTTTTTCAAAGTTAGTTCAACAATATATTTATAGGCAGGGATTATAACTCCGAAGACTCTTCTCATTCTAATTTTGATGCCTTTCCTAGTGATTCCCATCTTGGATTTAGCAATAGCATGTAGACTTATATACCAATTTACAGTGCTTTACAGCCCTCTCTTAAGTGGTTTACAAAGTCAGCCTATTGCCCCCAACAATCTGCGTCCTCATTTTACCCACCTTGGAAGGATGGAAGGCTGAGCCCCCCTTGAGACTGGTGAGATTTGAACTACCCAATTGCAGGCAGCCGGCAGTCAGCAGTCAGCCGAAATAGCTTGCACTACAGCACTCTAACCACTGAGCCTCTATTACATCAAATCTCACAAAAGTTTATAATTTACATACAAACATGAGTTCTCAAGGGATGTGATACTAAAATTTCAAATTGTACTGTTGGATTGGTACAGGTTCAAGGGAGCACTTAATCTGACTTTGAGTCAGTCAGTGTCCCTTATTCCAGCTTGCTGCTCAGATTTATGGTTGATGGGGTAACTCTAAACTCTGGATTTCAATACATGGGTTTAAATATATCTGTATACTTACAATTTTAGGCTTTGAAAAATGTGGATTCCTGGATATTGCTTCCTTCCTTTCAAACTTTGGAACAGAAGACAGCTTAAACCTCACTATGAAAGGTAACTGGTAACTAATTTAAATCTGAAACCACTGTAAAAGCCTGACTCACAGATGAACACTATACAGAAGCCTGATGATGGCAGATGAGATTCTGCCGAAACGTTGCTACAACTTTAAAAGCACAACTACAGTGACGTGGGAAAATACCCGAACAAAGCTGAATACCATACATGTAAGTACCCGCGAAAACTTAAGAAAACAAATATATATATGTATGTATGTATATATGTATATGTATATGTATATGTATATGTATATATATATGCATGCAAATAAATAAATAAATTATAAATCAAGAAATTAGCAGGAAG